GAAGAAATCCCCGACTCATCTCGCTCCTGCTGGTGGGGGGCCATCCCCACTGCCCCAAGCCATGTGGGGGGCTCTGCACAAGCCCCCAAAGCCCAGGGGCTGCATCGGGATTGATGAGTCCTGGGGCTTTTCTCCACTTTTTATTTTCTTAAAGGGCAGAGCCCTGGCAGGGGGGGCAGCCGTGAGGGGGGCAATGAGAGCAGGAGTGGGGGGGTTGGGTTAAGGGGGCTCATACAGAGTCCTTCGTGCAGCATGGGGCAGTGGGTACATGCAGACATTATATTTAGATTCGCCTAACTGGGGTTAGGTTAAGCTAAATGACCAATTGCGCAGACATTAGAGGAGATTCAGTTGGATTAAAAAATACCAGGCCCTATCTAAACTAGCTCACTTGTGGAGGCGAACCAACTTAGATCTGGAATGGCTTAGCTGGGTCTACTGAATGTCTGCTCATGTTTGGAGCACAGCCCCAGGGCTGGTAAAGTTCAACTACTCTTCCCCACTCTTCCTACCTGCCTCCCAACTCTGACTAGGCTGTTTTCAGTTCCCCAATCGCCCCACCCCTGGAACTACAACCCCACACAGACACATCAACACCCCTCCCCATCGCAGGGTCATCTGTCCTTCCCTCTCCTCTCCCTCCACCTGCTAGGCCCTCTATCCACCCCAAATTACCTACATGGAATTCCTGGCACCAGCCAAGGTGTGCGCTTGTTGCTCCTGATCTGTCACGGCACAGCTTAACAGGAAGATACATGAGCATAGACCAGGAGCAAATGTCTACACAAACCTGAAGGTGCAACCCTGCCTTGCCTTCTGCCTGACTTCAGACTAACACAGCTAACTACCTCCTTCTGTGTCTAGAAAAGTGAGGTTTGCCACACCTGCCAGGATGAATTCTCTAGAGTTACGCAGATGTAATTCAAACCGTTCCATTTCCCATACCACATACACAAGTCAGAGCAAATGTCTACACAAACCTGAAGGTGCAACCCTGCCTTGCCTTCTGCCTGACTTCAGACTAACACAGCTAACTACCTCCTTCTGTGTCTAGAAAAGTGAGGTTTGCCACACCTGCCAGGATGAATTCTCTAGAGTTACGCAGATGTAATTCAAACCGTTCCATTTCCCATACCACATACACAAGTCAGCAAGTCAGAGGTCAGGTTTTTGTCAACCAGTCCTACTCTGGGTTAATTCCTTGACAAGTTATCCAACAAACACAAGTCCAACAACATTCAAGGCAAGCTGTGGTGTTCAGTTCCTCTAAAAATCTATTCTGCTGCCTTTGTGAATATTGGGGATTTGTACACAGACCCCATGCGCATGCATGCACATCCATTCAGGCATGCGTGCATGCATATGTGTGAGTGCATGCATGAATGTGTGTGTATGTCCCTGCTTAACATCTGCTTTGTTCTCCTGGAGCGTCTCTTCTTGAAAGTCAAGAAAGCACCTTGTCCCTTCCAAAGCAAATCATAACAACAATAACTAAAGAAATCAAACCTGAAAACTGGGGAATTTTACAGCTTTCATTTAGGTAATCCAATTAAGAGGATATGGATAGGGAGGAAAAATAGTTTTAAAAAAAATTGCACTACCAACCCCCAAAGGGAAAGTAACTACTGTAAAAGTTTAAAGGTGGCATTTTATACTCAACATCAAGATGAAGTGTGGACATGCTGGAGAACATGAGAGCCAAAAGTCTTACCACATCAGTACCAATGTGCCCTTTAATGTTTTCAATGTTTAGGACTTGTGTGCCTGCCTAGGAAAGATAGGGTGCGAGTCAACAGCATACCAACTACTCTTCACTGATCTCCATTATGGACAATTTGAAAGAGCTCCAGCATGGGTTCTATGCAGCTCAGCTCAATTGAAAACAAAGCAAAAATTATTTAATCCCACCCCCCAAACTCAACTAACAAAAAACCCCCCAAGTCCCTACTGTAAAAGTAGTGCTTGGAAATAAATGTTGAGGTTAAGCAGACCCATAACAATTCTAGAGGATCTCTAGAGTTAGCTGCATTACAGTGACCTGAACTTAAAAGTATGCTAAAAGTGTTCATATACAAAGTTATTGCAGATTTGTACACAGCTTACTTGTGCATGAATAGACAGTGGCAAAGAAATCCTCAATCTGCTTCTTATGATCTCTCTCCACCTCAAGTAATGTTTTGTTTAAACACCACAAGGACCATGAGCACCCATCATCAATGCTGAAGGATGAATATGTCTTTTTTCAGGTACCAGTTAGTGTGTTGGAAAAGAAAATGGATGAAGAGATAAGAAAAGTGAGAGAAGAATAGGAGGGCAGCAGATACAGGCTAAGGTTAAGGCCCAAACTGATTAGGTACATGCCAAGCTAGTCAAAGCTAACCAGAATCTCCAGTCCTAAGATTCAAAGGAAAATCAC